ATTTATCATCCTGGATGGAAACAAAAGGTCTTCCTTTGAAGAGCCAGGCTGTGAAAACACAAAGAAAAGACTGTTATGCCCATGGATTAAATCTGTGGTAGGTAACCAAGCACAAGCAGTCCATTTGCAGCATGATGATACTGTAGTAATAATAACATCACTTCTTTCATCTGAGGAATACCTAGACAGGGACATATCAGCCCCCTCAGAGGCAGTAACTGAAGTCCCAAGAGGATAATTAAGCCACAAGGACCTGAAGAGTGACTGCACCACAAACACAGAAAAATGTAAGCATATTCACATAGTGTCTATAAGGACTACTTGCATAGGGATCCACTACTGGACATGGATCACTTCTCCTGGAACCACTTTTCCTGTGGCAGTTCACATGCCATCCCCAGGAGTAGTCTGTGCCATCTTCACTAAGCATCTTAGAGGAGCCCAGGCAAGGACTGTGCAGCTCTTAGAATCACAGAATGATTTGGGTTGGAAGGGACCTTAAAGATCATCTAGTTCCAATTCCCATCACACCCCTGCCACATGCAAGGACAGCTTCCACTAGACCATGTTGCTCAAAATCCTATCCAACCTGGCCTTCAACCATTCCAGGGATGGCACATCCACAGCTTCTCTGGGCAGCCTGTTCCAGTGTTTCACCACCCTCACAGCGAATAATTTCTTCCTAACATCTAATGTAAATCCTTCTTTCAGTTTAAAGCCATTCCTCCTTGTCCTATCACTACTTGCCCTTGTCAGTAGTCCCTCTCCAGCTCTCTTGCAGGTCCCTTTAGGTTCTGGGAGGCTGCTCTAACAGCTCCCTGGAGCCTTCTTTTCTCTAGGCTGGACAACCCCAACACTCTCAGCCTTATCCTCCCTCTATCTTGGTTCAGCAGCTCTCCAGTCTCCAACTGGGCAGGATAATCCAGCCACCCTACAAAGTCTCATTTTTTCAGTAGTTATTTTTGGCAAATTTTAACATCTGGCGTCTCTTTGGCCTGAATGGTTTCTAATGGCATGCGGGTTGGCATTCATTGATTTTATTCTTAATGCATCCAAATACAGGTTGGGTGCAATTGTGGAGGCAAGTGGGTGGGCTTCTTTTGGTGCTAATTTGAAACAGTTAAATAATTCGTAAGAATTCCTGAGATGTTTTTAAGCAAATGAAATCTGGGTGAGGAGAATGGTTGTCTTGTGGAAGTTGCTGACAACCCAGTACATATGAACAGATGATAGCCTCAAATTCCATAAGACATGCTTGGATCTATTGGTATTTGCAGAGACACAAAGGAAAATATTGTTAGCATGCAACCAGTTGTTGTATGGAAGAGGGATGAGAAGGGAATAGAGAGGAGGGAGGATGGGAGAGATAAGGATAGAGAAATACCAGAAACAGAACTGTACAAAATGTTTTCTCTAGGTTTAGTTCTCAGGATTACAGACAGTCCACCAATAAATTCACTAATTGACATACCTCACGTGGAGCCACATTAATGTCACAACTATGTCACTTGGCCAAATGTTTGATTTCACAGACAAACTCTTCTGCCTTTGGATGACATTGTGGATGGTTTCTACTTTTTTTTTAAATAGTCTTCTTGGCTTCCAACAGCTTTGCCTGGTTAAATTTCCCCTTCTAGCTAAAAAAAGAAATTAGACTGATCTCTTTTGGCAGCTGTGAAATGGTTGCATATTGTATATGTTTTCTTGATAAGCTTGCATGAAATGGAATTGGTTTTCTTTTGATGGATACACCCCTTTCAGCACAAGATTAGCAAGTGTTTAATTTTTAGAGACTTTTTATGTACATGTAATGTCATCTATGCTACTTCTATAGAGCATTATGAGTAGCACATGAAGATGTTTGAACAGGGAGACTGACTGAGGAATGTTTCCCCAGTGACTGTGCAACGTGATTTGTGATGATGTGTAGTTTGCTAGCCACAAAGTTTCAGTCGATGGCAAGAACTCTGTGAGACCTGGGCCAAATTCAGGTGCTGTAGAATATATGAACTGTCTGTTCTGGGTCTGCCCTAAAAGCAGTTTGGCCCCGTGTTCTGTAGTGACAGTGCCCAGATGTGGGTGCCTGGGGACAAGGGCAAATATGCAATAGTCCTTACTTTCTTGGGTCCTCAATGTCCAGTCTATTTTAGCTCAGACTCCCTGAGCTCCTGTTTTCTGCATGTATTAGAGCCCACAATGCAGAGAGAGAGGAGATGCAACTTGTACTGAAGACAACAGATACCACACTGAAAAGCATTGTGGATGAATGTGATTGTTCTGACTTCTTGTATGGTTATGTGCATGAGCCTCAGCCTACCCTGTGCTTCAATGCAATGCTATTATTAAGAATAAAATCAATGAATGACAAAGGAGATGCTCCAAGACAACAGGGAAAAGGCCAAAATGAGTATAAAAGGGTAATAATATTACAAATGATCTTTATTATTATAATAGTATGAGATAAAGTGGCTGACATTATTATTATAATAGCATGAGATAAAGTGGCTGGCATTCTGCCATTCTTTTCCCCAATATTTAATTTAGCCGTGAAGGTCTTTCAAAATTATATTCATGAGAGTCCAGAGAGGAGTGACCAGCAAGGAATCTATTCTGTCTTGAAAGTAAAAGCTTTTGTGAGGCGGAGGTAGGATCATTTATTCGTTTCTCTGACAAAACCTCTCAAGAATAAATTCAAATAAAAGAAAAATGAATTACTGGGATAATTAGCAGAGTATTTTAGTTTTAGTTATTATGTTTGCCTGTCTGTATGGTGAAACTTTTCAGTACTGGTAGGACCCAATAACCGCTAATGGAGAATCACAGACTGGCATTGCAGGTGGCAGCTAGACCACCAGTGCAAGCTGGTTGTGAAGCTGGTTGTGCATTCCCAACAGAAAATTCCCCAATGCCTTCCTTGCCTCTGTTTCCCATTCTTTGTCTTCTCCAGGGCTGCTGAGCTGACTGCATAGCGTGGGGGGCAGAGAGGGCTCATACCAGATTAGTTTACAGCCTGATCTGTGAGCTCTTTGGGCTCATCACACTGCTGTGCATTGGCAACTCGTGCAGAGAAGTGATAGAAACGTGCAGATGAGGAAACAAAATGGGCAGCTGAACACACCCACAGCAGCTTCTTGTTTGCTCAGCTTATCCCAGCAAGAAAGCTTGAGTCCCAGGCCATGTTTGCTTTTCCCCACTGTAACTGCCCGGCAGAGTGCTCCATCTCTGGACCAGCTTCATCAACACCTGCCTGAGTGGCTCTAAAGAGCTGGGGCTGCCGAGGCCTTCAAAGCCAGTGCACAAGGCACTGCCATCTCCAGCCTGGTGATCCCTGTGGGGCCAGGAGTCTTCCCAGGCAGATTGGCCCAGGCCCAGGGCACACAGACATATGGTTGGTCTGTGGCTCTGGGGCAGGATGCCAGGGACAGACAGTGCTCCAGCTGAACCCTAGCTGGAACTCTGCTGGAACACTCTGGTTTGTACAGTATTTTGGCCTCCCCATGTGGACATTTTTCCACCTGAGTTTAGCTATCCATGAGTATTTTCAACCAACTTGTCATCACAAGTCTTCAGTTTGGAGTAGGGAAAAAGAAGAAACAAGGATGAAATTGATTTTCTGAGTTACAGGAAGCAACTTTAAATTTAGCTTATGGCTCTCCTCAAAGAGCAGGTCTCCAACAGATGCTTTTTTCAACTAAGTTTTGTTTAACTATAACTGTCTTTAAACCTGCCTGAAGTGATAATTGTTGGTTCTCCCTTTGACACCAAATTTGAACTTGCAAACAAGAATAAAAAGGGAAGTGTTCCAACAGGAACTTCACTGGAGGTACCACGGGTCAACTGAAAAAATCTGTAAAACAGCTTTAGTTTTGTTTGAAATTTCCCTTATGACTTGTTAAAAATTATACCAAACATGCAACATTAAATAGTTAAATCCTGTTTATCTAGCAATTAGCAGGAGTTCAATGCAGCTCATCTCCATAATGAAAGAAAAAAAAAGCAAGAGGGAAAACAGTGCCCTGGAAAGGGTTACTTTAAGAATTTTTCCCCCTCGTCCTCAAGGCTGTAACAAAACAGGCTTGTAGCTGTTATGGGTAGGGCCTTACTTGTACTACTGCAAGAGTTACACAGCGTTTAACTGTTTCATTGTGGCTGCAGCAAAAAAATGCAGTATCTCCCTGCAGAACAGTGGGAACTGCTCCAGCTATTCAGAGACCAGAACTGGAAGAGCTGCTAACAAAGGAGGTTTATGAGGAAACCAGCACTCTTCCCACATACTCAGCTCACTGGTTTCTGTCTTCTTCCCCCTCCCCCTTTTCTCTTCTTCCGTTTAGAATGTCCTTTGCTTGTGTATCTGTTTCTGAAGTGGCTTAGACTCTTGTCCTCACCTAACCTTTTAACTCCTCTGTTTTTTCTCCTCTCCTTATTTAATTTCTTCTTGTGGCTTTTGGACACCAAAGGTAGCTGTGGTAAACAGGTTTGTTTGTTTGTTTGTTTGTGGTGTTTGTGTGCACAGCCTGGTGGGAATGTCCCATGACTTGTGTTAGTTTACCTTAAGGCTGTAGAGAACTTCCATTTCTTATCAGTCTGTCCTCCTCACCCTCAATACCTCTTTTCACCTCCTTCAATGATCTGTACCTTTTTTTGATTGTGTGCTTTTCTCTCACTTTTCACTCTCACAGCAAATATGCTCATTCCAGTGCTATCTTCTTCCTTGCTGGCTTTTCTCTGCAAATCAGAAATCCCTTCTGCCCTTCTTCATGACAGAGACATACTCCTCCACCTGATGACTCTTCCCATGTTGCAACCTTACCATTTTCTTTTTGGGGTTGTTTTTCTGCATGGGCATGTCTAACTGTTTCTTCATGTTCCCCAGCTTTTGTCTTCCAAGTCTGTAATTCATGGGAATAGTCACTTCTACCATGTCCTTAACTCTGCCCTTCTTCCCTCTACATGCTGGTAATGTTGCGGATACCTGTAAAGTCTCAGTTCCATTTTCACCTGTCTCCAAGGCAGAGGGTGTACTGTCTGCAAGTCAGGCTGGCTACTGAAAGCAAGCCCCTCCTTTGCCTGAAACAAACTTTTTGTAGAAGTCCAGAGTCACTTCCTTCTGATAAAGTGGTATGTATGCCTGGGAATATGATTTCTGGGTAAGAGCAAGGTGTGGCTCAGTGATATAACTGCCCTGGCTGGTCATGTGCTAGGAACCACAAGCAGCAGGAAAGCTTAAATGCTGTTGTTTCCTGCATGTCCTGGTAAGTGTAATGCAAAACAGTCACTCAAATTAGCAACTGTCACTTGAAAAATATGACTCATTTTGACACTCTTGGATGTTTTAACTGTATACCATTTGTAGGGCTCTAATGACTCAGTGTGAAGATTTGCCTGAACAGCTTGTGAAAGGCAGGTCAGTGCTAGAATTAGTCTGAGTCCACAGCAGCTCTTCTAGGCCCTCAGTGAAAGGGGTCCCTGAGCACTGACAGCTGTATTCCAACATAGGGTGAAAAGCACCAGGAAGAGACTTTCAGTACTAACCTGACCAGCCACTGAAAACAGATGCCTTTTTGTCTGGCTTTTGTTTTGAAATGGCCAATAAGAACAGATCAGCACTGGCACCATTGTCTGTAATAAATGTGTCTTCACATGCAGTGGAAGACTGTGGTGTGTTGTAAACAATCACAGCACTGAGTAAAGCATAATTGATCACACAAATACCACAAAGGATACATTTGCCAAAGCATGGTTTAAAGATTGTGATCTGTATAATAGAGCTGGCACACTTAAGACATGGTGAAAAGGAGCTATCAGCATTTTCTGGGATGAAATATAGGATGGATTGTCATAAAAAGACTTAATAACCCTTTACTATTATTGCATTTTTTTCATCACAGTAAAGCTTTATCTGGTGCTTGTCAGAAGGTCCCTTACACTTATAAACCGGTATTTTGTATTCAGAGTGTCTAAAAAATAAATTACATGCTTCATCTCAAATGCAGACTTAGTTACTGTTGAACACTGAAAGATCTTGCTGTATGCCATGGGTCTCGCTCATTGCTATATTCTTTAAGCTTTATATTGGGATCCTTCTGCTAAAATTAGGGATGGCAAATTCAGGTGCTAGAGACAAAGTATGTTGGCACAGCATAAAAATCTGGGTGCTGCAGGAAATATTACAGCTTTCTAGAAGATACATTGTCTGGCCATATCTTTTTCCATTTCTTCTTTTCTTCCACCACTGAACAGAACAACTTTTTCTCACAAATGAAAGCTTTTCTTCTCCTACCTTATGCTGGTAGAGGTCAAGTTAAACTGCTTTGAAACTCTGGGTATCAATACAACTCTTTGTGGTGCAGATAAAAAGGAAGCTTTTTTCCAGATGCAGATGGTTTTGAAAGGTGCAACATAAAAATGTCTGTCCACCAGACAGAGATAAATGATCCAGCCTAAATTCTGAGGCTTCAGGCATAAAAGTTATTGCACATATAAAAGAGAGAGGTGGTGAAGATCTGAAAAACCACAGGTGAGGTAGGAAAGCCTATCCTTACTCAGAATGTTTAGCCTGACCCCAGAAACTAGTTAAGAGATCAATAGAAGAATACATGTATTTGTGAGCAGGGTCTGTGTCTTATTTTCTGCTGTTTGTTTGATTCATTCTAGGCACAAAAGTTATCACTTGGCTTCTTCACCACTTCCTTCTCCCCCTGATTAGAGCAATCAGTGGGACACTGAGTTTTGGTTAGTGGCTTTTAGCAGAAGGGTGACAAGCACCATGGTGTTCACCTTCGCTCTGTATGTAGCTGTACTAGCAAATTCAGTCTGTCCAGCCTTCTGCAGTCTCTTATAGGAGACAAGCACCCTAGAGGCTGCGGTTTCTCTGACAGGAAGTGGGACCAGCTTCCTGTTTCTTATCTCCTGACACCCACACTGGATCAGTGTCAGCCGTAGCTGCTCACAGGTGGCACTCTACAGAGACACACCAAGTTAGCTCCACCCGGCTTAGCAGATGCTCAGATAGACTGACCACATCCATTATGTTCAGGTCATGTTGTCAAACTTCCCATTATTTGGAGGAAGATGTCATCAGAGAGGAGTACACTGTGCACTTCAGAAATGAGGATAACTAGTAGCAGCAAATGGAATAAAACTAAGCGAAGGCATGTTTTGTACATTTAAGCCAAGATAGTATAGAAGAGCTTTTTAAAAGAAGCTCTTTCATTCTGTCCACATTAATTTGTTACCTGTTTATCAATCCTGTTCACAGCTGAGAGAAAACTGAACTGGCTTTCAGTTGTTTATCTTCTCTAATACAGTTACCTGCAATTCCTTTTCTCAGTAAGAGTTCTCACAAACCCGAACATATTAACAGGGATGTCCTTATTCAAACAAAAATCAGCAGACTGGACTACTTGTAGAAAAAACCCTCCAAACTTGCCACGCCTTGCCATAGAGTATAATCATCTGTCCCAGGAAAAGTGTTCTCAGAACAGTATTTTTTATTCTTCATTGTCAATATTATATAGCTGAAGATGATGAAAATCTTCAAGAATGTTTTACTTGAGTTTACAGGCACTCTACAGAAAGCTGTGGTGAAATGGCTGCTGGACAAATTACTACAAAATAATGAGTGACGCTTTTAAGATCACAGTTTTCATTGTTTTTACTGTTGTTAGACAGCATTTGATAAACTCAGCAGAAATCCTTCCTGCCATCATATCAGGAACTTGAACACCTCCTGTAACAAAGGAAATTATGTTCAACAGATGCTGTCACACCTTTTGAAACCTTCTGCACCATTTTTTGGCACTAATTTCCAGGAAAATTTCACCAACAGCCTGTCCCTTTTGGTCTGACTAATGGCTTGTATTCTTTCCCAAATGGATTCTTTGAAGAGAAGCAAAATGCTCATGGACAAGCCATGCTGAAGAAGGATAGGGAGAACTCTCTAAAACCTTACAAGAGCCCCCCCTACCAAGATACAACAAGAAACTCCTGCCCTAAAACTAGAAGAGGGGTGGGAAACTTTTTGTCCAGGGGATGCCAACACTTCTCAGTTTAATTAACGCACTTCTTTGTGTTACTACTGAATAACACTAAGGTGTCATTTGAAGAATTGTCATCCTTTGAAAACCACAAAAACAGGAGATATTTCTGAATTAACAATTGCAATTAGTGCATTATCAAGAGGAATATTATTAGAAATAATTATTCTGTTCTGACCTAAAAATATTCACCTCTGTTGATTTTTACAACAGGATGCATGTGAGTATCTCAGCTACTTCTGGGATGGAGTACTGAAATACATCCAATCCTAACTGCTAAGACCAGGAATGAAAAAGAACAGAGTAAAACTAAGCAGTTAGTGAAAGACTAGCATTATTCAAATCATTACTTACTCTCAACCCTGCACATTCCAGTGTTGCGTGGGAATAATTGTGAAATGGTAGGGCTGTTACTAGGAAGCTGAAAGACAGACATTTCCAGCAACACCAAGCCCTGGAGCAATAGCTAAGTATGAGCCTATACATGAGAAAGCCCTGGTAATGGCATTTGCTCAATGAAAAAATACATCAAAGGGAGGAAATGGCAGATGAAAATAACCTTTGCTATCTCCAAGCCTTCTGTGGAAAGTCCCTACCTATGAGCAGTATTCATGCAGAAAAGCCAGCACTCATATCCTGTTTACTTTACTCTCATGGATACTGATTAACTTTTCCTGAGCTTTATTTCACATCTTTTCCAGATATCACCCAACCATTTCCTAAAACATGAATCCATCCACAAGCAAAGGGAAAGCAGTGAGGCTGCAGGAAGTAGGCCAGGGTTTTCACAGGCATGTTGTTCTGCTGCTGGTGCCAGCCCCGGGAGAGGCCAGCGTGCACACAGGCCTGTGCGCATGCACGTGCAGCTGCCTTGTGGGGGTACACTGCAGCATTGACATCCCCGCACGGGCACGCGGCCAGCGTGGCAGCACAGCATCAACCAACTCCTTCTTTTTCTAATTAACATTTGTCAAACTTGGAGAGAAGCCCAGGATGCAAAATTTGGATGCAAAATTCAAAAAGCACAGAAGCTGGAAATGTTCACACACAGGCTCTTCATTTACTCTTAGTTTTTTTTATAGGTCATGCCCAGATGACTTACTAGCTCTTACTGTAACTTACAATTGGCAATACTAATCATTTTTTTGTATGTCACAGTGAACAGTAGAACTGTACTCCAAAAAAAGTGGCAAAGTTTAATAGTAGGTGGGCATAAAGGTTTTCCCTTTCAAGAAAAATTTTTCCCTGAAGTTCCCCCTTTGGGTGGGTGAAGAGGAGAAGGCCTTTAACGCCATCAGCAGACAGGAGTGAGAATATTTTGACCAGATGTGGGAATTGTTTATAACAATGGTTTCTCAAACTCATGTGAATTCATCCAGTTTCCTGCACAGGACTCAGCAATGCAAGTTCAAATGATTAAGCTGACCCAGTGCTGAAACAATGAATTCTCGGTATATGCTTGAAAGCCACTTTTAAACTCTTGTGATTTCAGTTGCCAATTCTGTAGAAGGTTCTCTGTGAGAGAAATGGATTAAACAGTAAAAAAATAGCCCTTTGCTATTTTTTTATCAGCACAGCAATTCATGCTAGCTGCTGACATTAGAAGAGAATGGGGAGTGAGGTATTATATTTATTAAAGTAAAAAGGTAATGCATGTAATCAATCACTCTCAGGTATCCTAAATGGCCTATAAACAGCACCTCTAATAGAGTACCTAGCACTAAGCACTGGGAACTATTTCTAGTTCCCAGCAGGGCACTTACATCCTAGCCTAGATAAAAGATAGGGAAATAAGACATTGGGTCATGTTATGAGGTTCAGAGCTATTTCAGAGCTGAAGAAATTCTAAAAAGTAATATGCTCCAAGAGTTCCTGGAACTTTAAGGAGTACATGCAAGACAGTGAGCTGGCTATTAATAAGCCTCCTCCACAACATGTTTCCAAAGCCCAAGTAGTCAGCTTATACCAGGGCCCCATTCAAGACTGAACTGTTGCAGTCCTCATGGCAAGGACAAAACCCATGGCTTCTCTAACAGAAGTGAGCAAATGAAGCTCCTTCTTTCTCTCTCTGCACAATTTCTGGGTCTGTCTACAGCCAGCTTCTACTTGGCTTCTAGGTAAAATCTGAAAATGCCTCCATACTGATGTTCCAAAGAACTGAAAATTTTAAGAGACCTTGGAAGAGGACAAAACTTAACTCTTGCGAATAGTCCTTTCCTAAATCCTCTCCAGATGAACAGAGACTCTTTTTATAGAAGAGCTTTGTGTGCCTCCTACTAACTTAGGGATATCTTTGTTTTATTGGTCTTCTGTTCTGACACTGCATTAGCTAATGAGCAGTGCAGGACGTAATGTGAACCAAGTGATTTAATTTTAATGTGGCTTCTGCTTCCTGCACTGATTCAGCTGTGGACTAATTACACAGATCTTTGCTTCTCTAGAAGGGTCTTTCAGGCTGCTTCTGACAGGCAGCTCTCCTCTGCTTTTAAGGAAGATGGTGTGGGCACTTGCTGGATCAGTAAGGCTGCTTTCAAAGCAGGGTCAAGTGCTTTTACTATCTCAAGGGGCCAATTCCACTCTTTGCCAGATGACAATTAAAGGCCATGTATCACTGATACCAGTGATAACAACAGAAGTGTTCTACTTAAATGACAGCAGTTTCAGACAGTACTATTAAAAATAATGTAGATCAATTCCAGATCATTAGCACGCTATTTTAGAATTACTTTGGCACAAAGGAGGCTTTTCTTCCAGAGATTTTTGTCACATTAGAGGGTTTTTTGCCATACTTGTCTTAATAGATTCATTTCTAATAGAATAAGAGGCTCAGTTCATAAAGAAAGGTTTTTGATTAATCATGTTTGTTGTATTAGCATGAAGGAGGAGTTTTTTGCGGAAAGCATTTACATAAACAACGTTTATACAACACAACATTGCAATCCAAAAGCATTAGTGAGCTGCTTTGCAGGCAATGCAGATGGGAGTTGCTTAATCTTAAGTGGAAGTAAAGCCACTGTTAAAGTAAATATGCAGTAGCAACAGCACCTAACAAAGGGAACATGAATAATAACTTCTAATTTCAGCTGAATGTGGGAGGATATAGGTAGGCAGCAAAAGGAGCTGGAAACCAATTTCCAGTGTGATTCATAGAGATTTTCAGCAGTGGTTTGCACAGGTAAATTGTAACAGTCGACATTTACAGATATCTTTTCACTTATTAAAATTCCATAGATTTAGGGCTTTTTCTTTTTTGGCAAATGGAATACTGAAGCACAACAAACTTATACTGGCTCATAGTACTGACTGTGTCAAGTATCTTGACTTTCAGACACAGAACTTGTCCCCTGATTCTGCAAAATACTGCTCACATTTAAGTGAGAGAAATTATTTGATGAATGGAATAGCCTGCAGAAGTTCGGTGAGGATTTTAACACCACTGGAATTGTACCTTATATTGTTCACGGCTCATGAATAACCATGAGCCATGAACGATATTAGTACAAAAGGATGTACTAGTACATTAATAAGGTTATTCCTTTGCTCCATACTCCTTCATTACCACTAACATCTAGAGTCACTCTCTACCTACACATTTACTAAGACAAAGCAAGCTCCCTGTTGCCATTACATTCCCAACTCCTTCCTCCTACATTTTTCTTCTTGTTCTGTATTACTCAACTAGATTTGGCAACATTTTTCCTTCACAGAAATCAAAAGTGGGTGTTCTGACACAAGAACAGAAAACAAGAATAATCCAAATCTGGTCCACAAAGCTCTTCTAAATACTATAAATGAAAGCAGCATTTGACCCAATGCTAATATAAAGTGATTCTGAAAAAGTGATGGCACATGGAAAAAAATTAGAAAGCCAAGAGTAATTTCCAAACAATACGTTTTACCTTCTTTGGTCTTATATAGATTTTGATATTGATGCTGATGTCAGAGGAGTCTTTCAGCTGATATCAGTTTTGACCTAGCCTGTTAGAGGGTAATGCTGTACTATTTCAGTATCACTGAAATAATTAAATACTTAATTAATTAAATACTTTCTGTAAATGTATGTAAGTGGCAATGACAGACACTTTACCTTCAAGTCCTTTGCAAGCAATTTCCTTTCAGCACTGCAGAGTATCAAGATTACAGGGTGTCAGCATCATTCTACAGACTTTCACACTACATAACATTCTCCAAAGAAATAGACACATCTTCACTAACAAGAATTTATTCGTGTATTTGGAAGAGATATGCAGTAAATCTTTACAGCACAAAACTAAACATGGCTCCCTCTTGAGTCTAAAGTGTGCATGTTACTTCTTTAAAAAGTGCATCTTTTAACAAGCATCTTGTTCAAAAGGAACAGGAAAAAAAGAACATCCTCCTACCGCAACATAAACAAAACCTCTGAACTCACAATAAAGCAAATGGTAGAAAACTGCATCTTGAGCAAATCAAGTCAGGTCCAACCAATTTTAATAGGCACCTACTGTGGCTTCTGGAATCACTGTTGCATGCATATCTCTAGTCATATTGGATTTCTCTTTCAGCTTTGACTGCAGCAATGTGTGTTCCATCACACCAATCTGTATGTCCATCTGAATGGTTTCTTGCCTCAATTTTGTTAAGGCCTGTTTAATCTTCACTAGAGGAGCTGTCCCAAAAAAGATAAACAGTACAACTCTGTCAGCCATGTAACACAAAAGCATTGTTTGCTGTAATTTACTCCTTAAAATGGAAGAGTTGAATGAACAAAAGGGTGTTCTACTCTAAAGACATGATTGTACTGATACATCATTTTTAATATGCAAAACACTTTAAAGACAGAAATAGGCAATGACAATTTTGCTGTCTTCTTGACATCTAAGAGCTTCAAAAATGTGCATCAACATTAAGACAGGTTTTTCAATGATGTGTTTTGCTCAGCTGAAAGCCTTATCCCCATAGCTGATTTGAGGTTTAGTGGAGAACTGAAGACACCTTCAGCAGGGTGTGAAAATCTTACCTGTGAAAAGCTATTAAAATGTTTTGTGCCTTCCATTTTGTTTCTAACCCCTCCCTTCCCATTAGTATGATGCTGCTGCATCATCTTGCTCCTTGCAATTGCTCTAATTCTTTTTAATGAAGTACATATCGTAAAACTGTCACCAAGAAAAAGGATGAAGCAAAAATGTACTTACCACCATCAGTCATACTGCTTCCTTTCTCTTCTGTTTCCTGCTTTACTTTCTCTAATGCTTCTGTAATCTTAAGAGATTTTTTTCTTAATTAAACCAGATGAATATTGAATTTTTAGAAAGTACTGCTTTTTTAAAAAAAAATTAACTAATCCATCTTACTTGTTACATAAAGAGGAACGATTGTTCAAACATTCAGAAATTAATTTAACTGAACTGATGTTGTTAAAAAATTACAGAAAAAGGGTAACAATTTGACCAAACACCATGGTGTTACTGAAAAATCTGCGCATCCCCAGTAAAAAACAACAATATAAGTGTTTCAGTGTGATGCTGGATCGATGAACAAAGGAACCAATATCCCCACAGATCAAGTTTCATCAAATAACCATGCCCACTGCCCTTCTGGAAGCATCAGGACTTTGGCATGTTACACTGGAAACCTGAGAAACAGCACTGCAGCATAAGAAGGTGCAGCAGTCCAGCCTGCTGGCACTGGCACAGGTACATGTATGTAAAATCCACATTTGAAGAACAAAAGTACATTTCAACACTGTCTAGCAACTACAGACAATGAAAAAAAGCAAATATATGATTCTAAAGTATAGCCAAGGTAATAATTCAGTAATCTTGTGATAATGTGAAAATAGCCCTTCATTAAGGCTTCAATAAGCCTTTTCAGCAATGAAAAGGAATCAGTGCTGCATTGCTACTGCCTGCCAGGTAATGGTATTGCCAGGTTGGCTGAGGTCTTGACTGCACGCCTGAAAACAGATCAGTACTAACATCCAATATGTCTGGTTTAGCTCAGACATGTGCCACTGCATCTATGTAGTTTGAAGGATGCCAGCTAGTAACATATTCACCATTACTTATCAGTCAATCAGCTCCCAAAGTGCACACTGTAAATCTGAAGTCATCACAAAATACTTTTTCAAACTTACTTCCTTGAGAGTGAAATAGAAAGCAGATCTAATTCTGCAGAATTCATACACTCAGAAATCTTTGCTAGAAAACTCAATTAAACTGCTGCATTACCTACAGCAGCTGCACTTAGTATCACTGTAGGTACCTTCTAACTCAACTGTTCTATCTGTTCTGAAACATCTCAAACTTGTTGTACAATTTCTAACACATTCTTATTGTATGACCATTTTATGCACCTATTCCTGAGGCTTCATTGTCTAATAAGTAAAGCTGGTCTCTAAAATCCAGCTCTAAAACAGAGCCATTTAAAAAATTTGTGAATTGGATAAAGAGTTGAAGTATGTGGAAATCAGGCTGTAATTCTAAATGAAATGCCATGAAACACTCAACATGGTGTTAGGAGACAGATGTTTATTTAAATTTGTAAGAGCACCAATATAAAGGAAAACCAGATTTAGGTAATAAGATAATTTGATGTATGGAAAAAATGACTATTTTGTCAAATATTGCTTTTAAGTGCCTGGAAGATAAAAATTTCAAACTGTTAATTTTAACTAAAGATAAGAATTAAGCTTTTCTTCTTCCAAAGAATTTATGGGCATGATTTATTAATCCCCCAAAATTCTGGGGTACAGGTTATAAAATACAGAACATATACCTTCATTTACAAACTGAGCTCACATTTCGCAAGTTAAAAATCAACGGCAGCCTGTATTTAAAAATTAGGGACTGGACTAGATCACCTCCCCCAAACAAAAAATAATCTTTACCATGAGAACAAATCAGAGAGAACTGGTTTCATTAAACTGCAACCACTAAATGCTAACTCTCTGAAGACAGTTTTAAAGTAAGATGTGTTTTACCTCAGAAAGCACTCTAATCCTTTCAGTTACTCCTCCACTTCCCTCCTGGTACTTCTCTTTAGCCTGGAAAAAAACATGTCTTGGCTGTAATGACAGAGTTGGAGAAGTGTATGCAGATAGTTCAGAGAAAACTTCAATACTTGCTCTCTTATGTTTCAGTTCCAGAAACTCTCCCACAAACCCCCAGTGAGGTTTACAAATGAGGACAGGGTTGAAACATCAGCCCCTGCAATGACTATCATTCAAAAATGTAAAGCAGTAAATAGTAAAAATACGCACTTGATAAGAACTATGCTTTCTAATCATTTACATGAGGAAATAAACATGAAGAAAATCTGCCATAATGCAGAAAGGATTGAATACTGAAATCCAGAATAATACTTCATCAACAGTAAATTACTGTCTTGAAGATACCTTAACAACAAGGCAAACAGAAGGTGCAGAGGTCAAATTCTGTTAGCATTACTGTCACCATGGCCACAACCAGGAGGGCTTGCCAAAAGGCACACTATAATGCCTCCTAAATAGGGGATGAAAAATCTTCTCAGACAGCAATCTATTGGCATAAAAACTAAATGTAGCAAAGAAGTAATCAGAGTGCTTTGTGCACATTAGCACCAGTACCCAATCTAAGGGATGAATATTGGACTGAGACTGTAGTTATTCCACTCCTGACAGATGTGTGAACTTCACAGAGAAAGCAGAACTAGCAATTTACTAGTTGCTCAAGACTGGCAACAGCTATACATAATACTCAGGCAAAACCATCTATTTTCCCCTGCAGAACAGTTGAATAAAAATTGCTAGTTTAGCTTAGGAAGAATATAATTTGACAGCCAATCAACATTTCCCCTGCTTTATATCCAACAGCAGAATTCATAGATAGCTCACTCCATGTCGTCTTTACCTCTACCCTCACTTAACAGCAAGTTAATACAGGACAAGGCAACAACAAAAGATCAGCAATACCTCACTCAGCAAGGCTTGTGCTGAACGGTATTCTTGAACCAAGTGCTCCAACTGATTGTTGATGTACTTTTCCCTGCTATTGATCTTTTCCAGTGTTCTGCTGATTTCATTATGGAGTTTGTCAAGGTAACCCTAGAAAATCACATTCTGTGGGTTGACAGTTGACAGAGAATATGTAAAGAGTATCGAAATGATGCTGTAGTTAAGAAAGGCTATGGAAGCCTACAGACAGAGAGGAAAATAGTACAGAAATACTGTGTTTAGCCAACAAAAAAATATTCCCAATGTGTTCTGGTTTGCCCACCTCCAAAACACATATTTCAGTCTTCACTGCTTCATCACTCTCCCCTCCGCAATTAATTACAAGTTTCAATGTCAGTAAGGTACTCTAGCAACAGTATTTGAGAGTATTTGGGGGTTTTAACAGCACCTTCCGATTGTATTATTCTATTTTGTCCTGTGTAGTCAGGATGCACTTATGGTAATGCATTCATTACTGGAGCCTGATAGCCCTGTTAATCCTCACACATACAACTCTTTCCCAGAAGGTATGTTGTTACCAGCACTGTCCTTAAAGATCCTTGTCATATCTTTCCCTTTTTAATTTTACAGCAATAGCACAAGAAACAATGAAGGAAAAAAGATCAATTTAGCCCTTAATGCATATCAAATAAAAAATAAAAACGCTGACAGATTAGTAAAATATTCTGTACACACAAGACATACCCTAGTTTCTTTCAAAGAAGAATCAATTCCATCCTTATGCTGATGCATTTGATCTACATGAATCCTCCAATCCTACAAAAGGCATCACAAATTAAAACACAGGTAAGTACAATTTTTATCCTTCTCTGGTTACTAAACAGCGGCATGTATGCAAAGCAGGGTCAGTTCTCTTTTATACTATTGCCATATATCATCCTGCCAGTGCCATGTTCATAGCCAGGGGCACTGGCTCAATGTGACACCATTTATAAATCTCCTAAATGTCACATGTGACACTCAGATCCATAAACAAACACTGACATCCTCACTGACACCATAGTAGCTACACTTTTTAGAGTCTGATTTTCATGGAACTATTTCTGTTAGAAACCACTCTGGGCACAAATACTAAAACTATTGGTTGTAGCTGCACTAGTTCAGCTTGTTCTTAGACAAAATGACTGCTTTTGATGCCCAACACCTACCAATTCTGGACTATCTGTTCTTTACCTTCTATTTCAGTCATTACCATTACCAGAAGAAGAATGGAAAGAAAAAGAGGCAGAAATACCAAAACTTGGTTTTGGTAACAGGATACAATTAGAAGAGGGAAAATTATTTCCAGCTTCAAGATCATAGGACACATACATGGACTCTGGGGTGGGGGCTGAGAAAAGGTGCTGTGAACTGGCCCTGAACACCAGGTAATGAGTCACTAGAGATAATGTGCTTATGTTGTGTTTCACGTTTGAAGGAGACTCTTCTTGGTCTGGTGACAGTTGTTCACAATTTGCCAAACTTTGGAGTTTAAATAAAAACAACAGGCAGACAACCCACCCCCAACTCTGTCCAGGACTTTACAGTAAGTTCTAGTTTCTAGTGCCATTGATTAAACCATTAATACTCTCCTGGTACTATGTTTACATGCACAGCTTAGGAAACAGAAGATGTTTTCTGGCACAACAAAAAGGCCAAACATTTCTCTCCAGTTATTTCTAAAAGAAGCTAGAAGAAGAATCCTCTTTTTATGTTCATTTTGACATATTCCTTAAGGCAAAGAGATGGTGCATTAACGGGAAGCTAGTAAACCTCAGATCTTACAGTGGCTTTAATTTTTTATCTATGTCTTTATTAAGTTTTAATTCCTCACTGTGAGACTCAAGCATCATGTTCTCTGCAACAGATGGGCTTGCTGAGGATCACAGCAGAGTGGTTCAAGCCAGGCAATTCTTCACACAGAAAAATGCAGTATGGTGTAAGACAGGCAAGCAGCTCAGCAGACAGTTGAAGGTTTCCCCTATTTTTGGCAAGGTAATTTCTTTCATTGTATTCATGTATATGTATTGTATTGCTGTATCAGTGCTGCAGATTGCTCCAACACTCCAACTACCTGGGTCACTGCAAATGAACAATTTCAATAGTGCACTGATCTGTGTGTGCTACGCAAGCTCCTGGAAAGAATGCTTATGGCAATGCCAGGAGCAGGCCCTAGGTTTGGACCTGCCAAAGATGGATACCTACTTCTAAGCTGCTCATTCTAGACTCCTTGAAATAGACTATGGAGAGAAATACATAGTTCTAAGACATGATGAATTTCACCCTGAGACAGTTACCAGGATATGGTGAGCAAAAGCAGTTGAAAAAGTGATCACTTATTTTCACTAAATATTAGGAGACTTCAGGATGACTAGACCAGGGTACAGACCTACTTGATTGTCATGTAAAGTTCACCAAGAGAATCCCATACAATCAGCCTTCCATACAATCAGGTTAAAAAATAGAAGAGTTGAAAGGTAAGATCATCAGCTGTCCTCCAAGAAGATGTTTTAATAGTTGTTAAACTGAGGATATAATATTTTAGAAGTGTGAATATATTGGAAATGTCAGAGGACTGAAAAAATCCCCACTGAATAATTATATAGAAATAAGGTGCCTCGTAAGCAGCAGAAAAAAAATTTAATACTGAAAAAACACCTTACTGAAAATTATTGCTTCTAGGGTCAAATCAAGTGACAAAAGTTCAGAAAAGGTAGCACTGGAGAGCCTATTACTCACAGGTCTTTGCATGACAGAAGACAACAACTGCAAACGGAAAGTAAACAGCATTGACTGAAATCACATTTTAATCACGACATGTACACAAGCAAATCCATTCTTCCATACCTTATTGTCAGTCCTGACTGTGACTTTCAGCTGTGGAAGCACACGTTCCACTTCCAGATTCCACTCTGCTGCATCTGTTGTGGACTGTAAAATCTCTTCTTGCTTTGCAGTGTCATTCATGTTCTGTGTAAAAATCCCAAAGTTTATACACAAAATATCATTGTTATGCAATGAAATCACTATAATGGCTTGCAGTGTTAATATTAGAAAAATATTTATATCCAGAATGATCTAGACTACAGATGAAACAGATTTCTTTAATGGCTTTCTTTAATTCTTTAGAATTAAAGTATATCTTCTCATCATACTTAAAACTGAAGACAATTAAATGTATATATTAAGAAATTATAATACATCTCAGAAATGGTGTATTTATGTGGGATTAAATGTATTCATGAAACTAATGCCATGTTTCTCTAGAAGTCTCTGCAAAAACTTTCTTGCAAATGTTCCCAGCAGCCCTTCAGCCCTATCAGTTTAGAAACTGGCTGCATATTGTTCTTTCAAAATAATATTAATATATAATACCTGATTCATTTCAGATGGGTTTTTTTTCAAGTAAAGACTATGCAAGGATTTTTAGATTTAAATCCAACAGACACAAATTGCTGCTACAGATGTAAAAATCTCTCATGAGAGGACTAATGCATAATAACTTACTGATCTGTACGTTTGTGCCTTTAAAACACTCAGGTCAATATAATTTTCTTCATTGTCTGACTCTTCTTCCTTAAGAGAAGTTTCAAAGCAAGACTTCAGTAATTATTGCACAATTTTTCTCCATAATTTTATTTTGCAGGAGAACAAACCAATGAGTATTAAGTTCCATATTTCTGAACAAAACAAGACATGGAGAATTTATGAAATGGAGCTTATGAAGAGGCATAATACCTAGGACAAGCTGAAAGGTCAAAGCTACCCCACATTTCCTTCATAGCACCACAGTATTACAAAAATAAACCAACTAACCAACAAAACCCAAACCCTAAAGCCTCTGACATCAAATGGCCCATTGTCAATAGTTGTATGGTAACTGTATTTTTTTATGTATTTCTTAAAGCTCTACCTTAAAAATGAAGCCCCATCAAAACAAAAGCCAAATTACAACCGGACCTCAACACAGTTTTGAAGATGTTGTTTGTACTATGTATTTGAAGTCACAGAATGATGCCACATCTTAAATGTGCAGAATAACACAACTGAAATTGAGGCAATTGTTTTTTTCTTGCCCATGAGACCACACACTCTGTTAACATACTCTATAAATCTGTTATAGTCTCAAAATCCCCTTCTTCTGTGACTATGATCAGCTGAGAGCCCATTACGCGTAGGAAACAATGCTTTTTCTGTGCATTAACCTTCATTTATCTATACAGTATTTCATCTGCCATTTTATCACCCAGACACTTCACCCCTATACCCCTTGTCCCCCTCTTGACTGTCTTTTCCACCAAAGTGAAATTTCACCATCCACCTCCTTTCTACAGAAATCACAAAAGCTGCAATAACACAGGTCTTAGGGTAAAATCCTTCAAGACTGACTTGAAGGATTTTACCCTAATAAAATACTCACTTGAAGGATTTTACCCTTGAAATAAACCTTGGAGCTTATTTCTCTTTCCTCTATTTTACCCAGTTTTTAACTAACAGGGACTACTATTTCCTTCTGGCATGTCTGACCCTGAGTCCCCTAAATACCTGCGAGAAATTTAGACTAAATTAAGACTGTCTTTTGCTAAACGGACAATAGATATTTGTGCAGCATTTAGAAGAACACACCACCAGAACAAGATTGGTTATCAGAACTGAGAAACCAAACTGAGCAGATTTTCTTGCACACCCAGCCTCACTGCCTACTGCTGGCTACCTAATACAGGCAATCCCTGATTTACAGAACTAGGCTTGTCTCTGTCAGCTTCATCATTTTTATTCAGAAGAATCAAAACCAAAGAACAATCAGTGAACCTCATCATTAACATTTAATTGCTGGAAATACTGCTAAATTCAATTATGGATACAGCTAATATCAATATACCGGCAGCAACAATGGACCAGGGAAAAAATTACATTGGCATGTAATTAATCCCTGTAGAACTACTAGGGGCTTTAAAAAGTGAGTATCCTTTTGGTATAAACTGCCTGGTAATGTAATACCTAGTAAAGGAATAACACCTCAGTGGTTTTATTAACACACATATATTCCAAAGAGCTAAAAGAACACGTTAGTTATGAAAATCATGGCCTAGGACAATACTGAGAACAAACCCAGAGGTTCTTTGAAGGATTTCAACTATGCTTTAATTAACTGTTTCATCCCCACTTCCCAATTTAAGCAGCTTACACCTCAACAAGATACAGAAAAGAGGAGACAGCTGACTGTTTTCCTATTTTAACCCTTTAGTTTAACATCAAGAGTAGATTTATCAGGAGAAAAGAAACAATTCTGAATCTCTGTGTTTTTAATGCATAGTTAGATTCTACTGCACATAAGAATATACACTCTGTCTTGAAGAGTTAATCTTATCTGAAAAGCCACAAAAAAACCCTACAGAGAATCTGACAATGCAGGAATAGAGCTGCAGGAAAAAAACTTGAACAGCTAATTAAAAATACTTCTTAAAAAAAGCCAAACAAAATGAACAATGAATAAAAATTTCCTCATAGTTGACCAATACTAATATAATCAAAACCAACCAAATAAACCTACTGCAATATCCTCTTCCAATTTACTAAGTGTTAATTCTGCATCATCTTCTGTTATTTCTTCTTCTTCTGGCTCTTCTGTTGGGTATGCTGGCCTGAAATTAATTCAAAGAACAGCAGAGCTTTTAAATGCAATAAATTGTACATACCTCTGCAAACAAAACATTTCATGTGAAAAATGGATGATATGGAACATACCTAGACAGTGTTTTGCAACTTAAATAAATATATACTCTGCCTTGAAAGTCCTGTTCATCTTGGACTGTCTTAAAAGTAAAGGCAGTACAGTACATTCACACTACAAAGTCATCTACGAAGTAAATTTTGGGGTTTGTCTCTATTGGTCTAACTCTTAAAATTCAAGTGCAAGTCACCACAGGCTTATTTGCAGCCTACAGTGGAATTTGTGTACTAAAGAGAAGTAACAGTAAAATATTTCCAAGGTAGAAATTACTTTGCTATATCCATTTCAAAACCCATTGGAGGAAAAGAATAAAAGAACACTTTTAAAGACATTTTCATATATTTGAGGTTATCTGTCATCTAATTTGTCCTAGGATTTCCTTCAGATTAAATAAAATTACTCTAGTCTACTTGTAACATGACCATACTGTGCATAACTCCAGGAATTTACTACTGATTGATAGAACCTAAACGGACATTACATGTTTCAACTCAAATACCAGATTAACAAGGAGTTATATGTAGGGAAATAACAAAAAAAAGTCATCAGTTAAACCTTAATTAGCTAAGTCTATAATGGTCCAAACTCAGCCTTGCTGGCAACAGGCCAGTTGTGTGAAATTGCATTAGGAATTAACTGGCCACCCTGCTTCAAGCCTAGTTGAATTTACCATCTCATGAAATGTCAAGTAAAACAGTTTTAGTCATTCCTATGTTTTATCTTACCACTACAACTTACATCTGTTTGCTGGAAAATAATGTATTAGGGGGGATGCTTAGAAGTGTACTGTACCTTTTCCAGCTAAACCCAGTGTGCTTCAAGGCTTCTTCAGCTAAACAATCAAGAACGTAGCACACTTGCTCTCCGCAGCCTGTCTTTAATTTTGAGGGAGGAAAATCCACAGGCCTTCCCTAAAATAAAAAGAGACAGGCTGTTTACTAATGGCCTAACAACCCAAATTTCCTCAAAGGGAGATAAGTTTTGTACACTAAAAAGTGTCCCTTGTGTATGAGATTTTATTAATGACAATTTACATTCTTCTCCTATGCAGCTCCAGTGAAGCAACAGAAGGAAAACCAGACGATGCCAAGGAAAAGATGCAGTGTAGAAATCTTTAAGCATATGGTAAGACCATACTCCCAGGTAGCAGAAGAGGCAGAAGCCCCAAGGGATCTGGATGGTCAAGCACACAAGTGACAAGGCAACATAGTAACAGCTACAGAGAAACTCAAGTATTGAGACTTAACTACCAACTTTTCAACAGTGTCCTGTTTGCTCCATATTTTACTTATAAAATATTTTAATTTATTGCTGTCATGCAGGATAAACATAGTAGTTTGATATAGTTTAACTCCTTTAGAGAACAGTGTCCTTAACATCATTCACAGCTGCACCAGAGTATAATCTTCCATAAGATCATACTTCTTGTCAGCTGATATAGTCTCCTGATCGTCGGAGTTCAGCTTTTTTCCTTTCTTTTTTTTAATTAAAAAAAAAATCTCAGTAGTTCCTCGCAGTTTGTACAACCTTTTACTCCTTACCAAAAAAAAGAAAAAACAAAAACAAAACTAAAAAAAACAAAACAAAACCAACCAAAAAAAAAACCAAAAAAACAACCAAAAAACCCCACAAACATTCTTCTAAACCACTTCCTACACTACAAATTAAGTCATTGACTTTGGCTGGAGCAGGATCACAAACCGTGTAAACCTTCCAGATGAAATCTCTGAAAATTATGCTACTGTAAATGAGCAACATATGTGGTACTACAAAAGGTAAGCCTGGTTAAATCCATTTTACAGACTGCAGAACAAAACCAACTGGAATTATTTATAAGACCATTTCTGTAGTGTTAAAAAAAAATAGCAAGTAGGTACAGCCTATGTAAACTTCCAATTAACTAAGTAACACAGTACAAACTTACAGCTAGGAAAAGTCTGTCCAGTCCTTGGGACCAGACCCAGCAGGAGAGCAGTGTGTGACTGCTGTTATTTCTGAAGGGAATGCAGAAGCTTGCAACACACTTGGGAAGAGACCCCGTGTGACACTCACAAAGGACCGCAGCTCGGAGAGCACATTTGAAATCACTGCATTGGGGTCGTCGTACTCCTGCGGCTGCTCGAAGGGATGTCCTGCTTTGCTGATCAGCCAAGCGGCAAGCGTGCAGAACATGAAGAACTGCTCACCGGGATTGGTGGGCAGCGCAAAGTAGTGCCTGTTTCAAAAGGGAGCAAATGGTACGTAGTGTGAGTTTCTGGAGCTCTTACAACATTATAGGTAAGCACAGGCTACAGAGCAGTTTCTTTACCCAGTTTTCTCAATGAGCAACCCATCTGACCAAAAATCAGGACGCCTGGTTTCACACATAACCACAGCAGACCAAGTTTTCTACACCCAGCTTGCTTATTTCCAGCTTTGTGTAAGTTATTAGTCAACACCAGACTTGGCTGCCAAATTCCCCAAATCACCTCCCCTTCACACTTTCCTCAAGAAATGCAGGAGGATGGTATTCCTACATTTGCAAATTCAGCTCAGATCAGGAGCATGTTTTGAAGTGATCCTTCCACCTGTCCTTATCTATACTGTGCTTTGGGTTGCTTTGGAGAGCAATGAAAACTGGATCTGACTTGGATCACACCAAATTCAATTATGTGATCCTAATAAGAATTCAGTCTATAAAACCAGACTACCCCCCCGAGTATAAATTACATGAATACTGGATACTGGGAACTTCTGGAAATGCTTCCCTTTACCAATACAGCTACTCACTGAAGTACACAAAGGTCTGCTGTCCTGCTCCAAACATTCCAATAGTTCAACGGCAGGCTAGACCTAATTTACAGAATTTACAGCCACTGTGCTCATACTTGAGCCTCCTTCCCAAAAAGGGGGTAACTTAGCAAACTGTTGCTTATAAGAAGCTTAATTCTGTGACACCCTGCAGTGGAGCCTGGCTGAAAGTGATGAATGAGTTTAAAAGTTATATGGGCAGGTGGATATTGGGATCACACTGGCCCTGATTCCCAGACTTCCTGTCTCCACCATAATTTAAAAGAAAGACATAAAAAACCATTACATGTGAAACAAGTATGTACTGGATATGAAAGCCCAGGCTTACCAAAAACGGGTCCAAGACCCTCTTTGTAAAGGATTAAAGGGTAAAAAATATACACACACCATGAATAGCTATCCTGAATTCAAGATATTTAGAGTTATTTTGAACAACTTGGAATTTACGCAGAGCTATTTTCTGCGGAAGAGGTAGAATTTAGGTAGAATTACTTTTTGCACGGGTACCGTGGCATGTAGACACCTAATACTTGCCGGGGGCAGGAAAGGTCAAGGGACTATTTACTTAGCGCATCTCAGCCTTTCGCGGGGCCTCGCGTTCTGAAAGCTTCCAGCTCACACGGGAAGCTTTGTTCCTGGCTAGTTTTCCCAGGTATTCTGCCATGCAGGCCCTTCGCTATGCTCTGATGGCCCGGAGGAATTCCTTCCCGCTGCCCCCCGCCCACGGCCACGCCAGCGCCCTCGGGCCGAGGCGCGAGTCAGAAGCACCTGGACAGAGGCCGCATGTTGTGGCGCCGTAGCGCCTCCTCCTCGTAGCTCAGCAGTTTCAGCTTGTCCAGCAGGTCCTCCATGAGCACGAACATGTGAAAAGCCGCGCCAGGCCCACGCTCCGCCGGGCCCTCCTCGTTCCGCTCCCGCTCCCCGCGCCGGCCCGGAGCGCCCTCTTCCGCCATCTTGACTCGTAACCACGGCGACGGGGGCGGGCCCGCACGCCGCCCCCCTCGCCGGCGAGGCCACACCGCCAACCCGCACGGAGCTGGTCAACCTTTCAGCTCTTGAGGCATTTGACGGAGCTGGTGAACTTTTAAACTTTTCTTCCTTCCCGAAGACAAACTTCAGAACAGCTCGCTCCGGGCAGGCGCAGAGCGGGCAGCGGCGGTAGCTCACGAACTGAGGTGCGGTGTTCTGCAGCTGGAGGTGCGGCAAAGTGAGTCTGGGCAGCCAGGAGCTGTAGCATCAGCCGCGGGTGCCGGCTGGACGCGCCCTGGGGCGGAGTGGGGAAGGCAGCGGGTTGGAAAGCTCCGTCTCCCGGGAATGTGCTTGGCACTGGTGAAGCACCTCGAGTGCTGTGTCCAGTTCTGGACATCTCACTACCGACAGACTTTGAGGCGCTGGAGCGTGTCCAGCGAAGGGAGAGGGAGCTGGTGAAGGGTGTGCAGCTGCCATGAGGAATCGCTCAGGAACTTCCTGAAAGGAAGTCGTAGCCCGGTGGGGATCGGTCTGTTGTCCCAGTTAACTAGTAACAGGACAAGAGGACACGCCCTCAAACTGTGCCAGCGGACGTTTAGATTGGATATTGGGAGGAATTTCCCCACTAAAGGGGTTTTCAAGCATTGCAATGAACTGCCCGGGTACCTCACCATCCCTGAAAGTGTTCAAGAAACGACTGGACGTGTCACTTAATGCCATGATCTAGTTGAGAAGTTCATCAGTCAAAGGTTGGACTCGATGATCTGAGGTCTTTTCCGACCGAAATGACTCAGTGAATGCAGGACACACCTCGCCTGTCTACTCCTAGCACTACCAGAGTCTTCGAGGGGACACACCCTTTCTTGCCACTTCTCCCTTCATTTTGTTTGGAGTTTTTTGTAAGCCCTCTTCCCGAAAATGCTTGAGTCGTTTTGTTCTGCTGGAAACCAGATGGCACAGACAAGTCTTGAATTGTCCAGAGAGAATAAGTCACTGTTAGAAAATAATTGCCTAACCCTGCAGCCCTAGGCACCTACCTGTTGTTTCAGATGACCAGCTTTTTATCATGATTACTTTTACCTTACGTTTTTTTTCTCCTGAGCCCGCAGGGATCTGACCTCGCTCCCGGTGCCGGGTTCCTGCGCTCTGCCCCTAAGAGAATTGGCGCGGCCGCTGCATCCCCGAGCGCGTTGGGAGCGGCATCGTGACTGCTGTAAGCCTCCTCATTTCCTCCTCATTTCCTCCGTTACAGCTTGCAGGAACTTTGGGTTTGCCAGGCAAAAGAAATGGTTAAGAGAAAAAGTTTTTTAAGCCCGAAGAAGGGAACATAAAAGGTGTGAAATCTTTGCGTGTGTCGAATCGTAGATCTCATTGTAAAAACAGCTGCTACCCTTAAGGGGACTGCGCGAACTTCTTTGTTAGTTACTTGAGCCCTGAGCCATGCGGGTGGGTCAGAGTGCAGCTGGAGAGAGGCAAAGATCAACAGGGAGAGAGACTGTGGAAATTTTCTTCCATTCGGAGTATTTCTTAACAACTGAAGTATGGAATTAGCATTTAAGTTGTAAGGGTTTCCTTGTGGGGAGGCAGAGAATGGCTTCTCTGTTTTACTGTGGGAAATCTGAAGATTCAGTGAGGAAATTCTAGAAAGCTGGTATCATTGTGGCAGGAGATTTTAGTAGTATGTGATTAACATGTCTTTTTGAGAATTTTACATTTTACAAATTGTTTGTTTTTCTTATTTGCTTGTTGGTAGAAATGAAAATCTTCTGGTATTTCCCAGTCCTCGTGTATGTATATGCTTGAAATGTGTTGTTGTTAAGTTGCATTGAAAAGGAATAAATCAGAATCCTTTGTACTAAGAAATAAATAAATTTTATTTGAAAGGAGGGTATTTCAATATGCATACCTGCTCTCAAAGAGGTCACAGTACACTGAGCAGCCACCAATCCCAATGGCTGCAGGAGTGCCCTGATCAGGTTTCAGCTTGACTGCAGAGTTCAAAAATGGGGAAATACTTGGATACAGTTTGGTCACTAATTAACCCAAGAAAGAGAAAGCAAAGCACAGTGTTTGTTTCCTGTAGTAGCCAAAGCAAATGCAGCATTCCCCCTACCATTATTTGAGCTGTATGTCTTTGGAGATGCATTTTAGCACCTTGCCTTGCTCTCAGAAACCCTGGCTGAGCTGTTTTCCAGTTGAGCCTGTGGTGATTCTCTATGAAATAATTCTCCTGAAAACTAGACCATCAGTAACTAACATGATTCCAGTGAACTTAATTCTACTTGTACACTGTCTGTATACATTATTTCATATTGGTATTTCACTACAAAGCCTTAGGGCATGACTTCTTGGTTGTGCCACTTACATCTGTGACAAACAGGCATTGTTTGTTTGTTGCATGTTTGTTCAGTACCTCGCAGTGTGACTCTAATTATCAGCATACAGACACTTTATTACTGTAAGACCCCAGAACTTGCTGAAAAGACTGGCCAAAACCTACACTCCTCAGATTTTTCTACAGACTGGCATACGTTTTTCTCTAATGGGAAAATCCAAAGCTACAGTTTGTGCTGAACATGAAAATTTTCAGCTAAGTAGTTATAGCTGTTGTGTTTTGGAGCAGCTTATGGGGCACAGCTAGAAGGTGGGAGTCAGTGTGCACTGTCCATGCAGCCCCCAAAGGCATCACAGAGGTAGCACTGGAACCATGTTACTCTCAGAGCATCACTGCCAGTGAAAGGTGGCAAGTCAATTAAACATGGCAGATCCCTCACTAAGGGAAACACAGCATTGATTGCAGTTTCTGAAATTCAAACATTAAGCACAGTATATCTTGTTGATCAAGCTGGAAGTGATAGGTAAATAAGCAAAAAATCCAATAAGACATGATGTGCCCCACTTGCCAGTGCAAGGGGTAAAGAAAGTAGATACTGGCAATTGTTGCTGACATGGAACAAAATCATGTATCAAATGTTTATTTTACCATTGCATCTATTTCTGCCTCAGATTTAATGTTTTGGTGCCTCTGTTTTTTTGTTTTGTTCTGTTTTTTTCTCCTAAAAATAGTGAGAATACATAAAACAAGCACACTACCTTTTCAAAAGAAATAATACTCAAAAATCTTTAGGATTTAAGATTCACATCCACCACAAATAGAGTCTCAGACACCAGTCAAAATTATTCATAATACTAAAAGGTTGGGCTAGCAAGCCTGGCTAAACCAGTTAGAAATGGTACCTATAGCTGCCTTTTGGGGAGAAAAAAAAAGGACTAGGAAAATCTATTGAAGTCTTTTCAAGTTACTTGATTCATGAGGTAATTTCTCCACTGGGGTATGCTGTATTTTAGGATAAGACTGCATTCTTCCTCCATTCAGGTAATAGTTACAGTAAGGTTATTCTTTTTCTGTTACGCATGAGAGGTTCCAGTTCATTGCTGTCTGACAAAACAGAAGATATGATGAGAGAGTCTCCTCCTTTGCATTCCTACCCTAAATTTCCATGCACACATTTTTGAAAGTGTAAAAAGTGTGAAAAGTTCTCTATACCAGTAGTATTTGCAAATGCAATCAAATTTTCCACCCCAGAAAGTCAAATGTTGCAGTAATCAGAAATATATTTTAAAAAGTAAAGAAAATCAGGCTTGACGAGGGATATCTTACATACTTTTGCAAATTTGACTTGACCAGTTTTCCTTGGTATCCTGTTCAGGAATGAGGAAGATTAATATTCCCTAGCCCTGCAACAGCACTGATAGTAAACACTTTCTATTTATTAAAAATAAAGCATCAATCTGCAAGGAGCTACAAGGTAATGAGTGAGCCTCCACTACTATGTAATGCGTAGGATCACATAATGAATGACTTAAATGTCAAAAATCTGTACCAAGTCTGCTGCAAACAAAAAACATGATACATAGGCCTATAGTCCTTTGCAAGCTGTAGAAAGGAAATTATATACAGATATGGCTTTTATCTGCATTTAAACAGGTTTTATCCCCTGCTTTTATTTTGCCAGTTTGACCTGAATCTATGAACCAATGAAGAAATGAAAGAACCGAGCATACCAGGCGTTATGATCTGTGTATTTCACATCAGTGCTACACTTTGGGGTAGGTTGTAGCTGAAAAATACTAAAGAAGACCATTATTTTTAATTTTTATTAAGAAGAGTTAGTGAATTCAAACACTGTTTATTAATGGTAAAGAATCAATTTTGGGTAATGTAAAACACTTCTGAAGCCAAAGACTGCTTGTCAGGTGGCTGCATGGATGGCTGTGGCCATTGAGCCCCCAAACTGTTACCTGCCAATGTTTCTGCCCCACTGGCTCAGCAGGCAGTGCTTTTCAGTTCAGACTGAAAATGCTTTGCATCAAATTGGCTGACTTTGCATAGAGAAGACTAAGAAAAAGTCATTTAGATTGTTCTGCCAGATGAGCTAGAGATGGGACCAGAATGTCTGAGATGGCAGCTGCCCCTGAGCACTCACTACCAGCCTAACAGGTTGTCTGGCCTTAGCCAAGAAGTCAATGTGATGATGTAAGTCAGTTTTTTGAAAGATTAATTTTAAATTTCTCTTGTATGCTAGCAAGGCCTAACTTAAATGTTGACAGAAATGAGATGCTACCACTTGTGTCAATTTTTGGGATGCACACCTTAATTATCTCAAGGGCCTGAGACAGAGCTTCCTCATCCTGTCTGTGGTGGCAAAGCTGTTTCAGGAAGTTCCGTCCTTCCCATCAGTTGCAGAGCCATGTCTTTTTTCCCCGTGATGGTACAACTGCTTGGCACTGTGTGAGGGTGGTTGGTAACATGGGGCATTGCAGCATGGCACTGTGAATGTTTGAACATGAAGGAAGCTGCAGCTCAAAAGGCTTTTAAAGTCTAAGGTGGAAATGATGTGGTTCAAGGTGTGGGAACACATTTGAAGCCCAGGTGGTAAGGTGGCAGTGTGCTGATTTGAGTATGTAAGTGCTTACTTGGGATTCCTGCGTAAACTGATTAGAAGTTCAACGAGCAGAGCTCTGTGGTGTAATCCTGATTAAACTGAATGGGCACCTTTGCTGTCCCAAGAGATTCATGTGACAGAAAAGTCATTAAAGAGACGTTGGCATACCTGCAAGAGCATTTTTTTGTCAGGGATAAATAGGTGCAGAAATATACTTGTAGACTGGATTAAACTTAGTCATTTGTACTTATGGGCTTTAGGTTTTACAGAACAGGAAGAAGTAACAGGGCTGTTTTCCAAGGATTGCATCCTCCCTTGTCGTTTCCCACCTGGGCATGATGAGGTAATTCACTGGAAAATAGAGAACAAAAATGTGCACAGTTACTACCTGCAGAAGGATCAGCTGGGAGAACAAGATCCACATTACAGACTCAGAACACACCTTTTCCATGAGAACATCCCTAGTGGAAATGCCTCCTTGAAACTTAGTAACCTGACCATGACTGATGAGGGCTCTTATACCTGCTACGTGGGAACAGCACAAGATCAAACAGAAGTGGAAGTGCAACTACACGTTAAAGGTCAGTAAGGCATCAAAAACCCTTGGATCACACCACCGCAAATGGAATGGCACCAACAGATTTCCTTATGTTTCTCCCATTGAATCAAAATCTTCCAACACAGCAGAGCACCTTTTGGGCCTGATGGTGTTATGCAGCAGTTTTTTTCCTCTGGTGAAATATTGCAACATGGATTAGAAAATTTTAGTGCAGTACTTGCAGTACTTGTTTTCATAACCTACAGCAAGCACCTTGATTTCTAAGGGCTAATTATGTGGTACACATAATGTGGCTTCTCAGAACTGTACAAATCTTGGCCTTGTAAGTAGCTGTGCTTTCTTCTGAAATCAAACACAGATGAAGTTTTGTTCTCGGCAATATTCATTCTCCCCAATGGTATTTTAAGAGTAATCACTTCAAGTTAAAAACCATTTTGTAAGTAGTAAGATTTATTTTTTTAAATTATTTTTTCATCTACAGCTCCTTCTTCTTATGCACTGGAATACCAAAAGACAAGCACAGAAAGGAGACTGAAGTGCTATGCTTTTCTCACTTATCCAGCACCAAGTATATCTTGGGTACAGGGCAATATATCCATCCAGGAGACAGACTGGGAGGAAACTAGGAATGGAGTTCTCTATTCTCTTAGAAGTGACAAGGACATTATAAATGTGACAGATACTTACTACTGTCATATTCATTTGGATCATGAAGTGTGGGCCGCTGAATGGAAGATGCAAGGTAGGAATGAAATCTCTTTCAGCATTGTTACTGAATTTCACAGCTGGCTTCAGAGTCAAACTAAAGACAGTCTTTCTGCAGTGGGGCAACATGGATATGGGACAGTGCAAAAGGATATACCTTTCTCTTTGAAATGCATTTGTTAGGATTACAAAGCAGCATACCAGTTGCTTCCAAGAAGTAGGGATGAGAGGGGCTAGCTCACCCTTCTGTAAGTTATTCTTACTCTTAACATCTTTTCTATATCAGTTTCACATTTTAAGAGGTGCCTAATAAACAAACTTTACCCTCTATCAATAAAAGAATTCTGCCCATTGGACAAAATAAATGGAAACGTTAGAGAATATGTGGGTTCTGTGAGGGAGGTGAAAGTTTGCCTGCTGCTCTAGCTGCATATGATCTGCTTGATCCTTTCATTGTACTTCTCTTCACATGCATCCTTAAGTACCAGTCTGAGTGCTGCGTGCATGAGAATGGAGAACAGCAAACAGTTTGCATTTTAGTGAACAGCAGCCCATTTTTTTAGTTAAGGAAAAGCAGGACTATGAAATTTCAACTCTGCTTTGTCTTCCTCCTGAATTTCATTGGAAATTCACTTTGAGTAGATAACTGGTGGTTTTCAACCTTTCCTATTTCTTAGGAAATATTTGTAATTGAAGGAAGAGCAATGCAAGAGCAGTTCTCTTGTGAGATGTGCATGGATGCTTCTTCCATCATCCAGATTACCTTCTAAAGTGTATCCAGACACTCTCAGTGCCTAACCCACTGCATAAGCTCCAGAACAAGAGTGCAGTTTTTAATTTACATGGAATAGCTTACAAAATGGAAGGTTGCAAGTATGGCATCATAGTAGCTACCAAGTGCACTGTGTCTCTTTTGTTATCTATGCCTGATCCACAAGAGAAAAAGGAACATTCCATTACACACATACTTGCATTTCCCTGCATCCATATAACTCCTCAGTAGAATATTTTGAAAAAAATTGTTCTCTTGTTTCTATAATAGCAGTGAACAATTCTGTTTTTTTTGTCTTCATGATTTTTCAGCCCCACACCTTTGTTCATTAACCCCCCCACCACCCAGAAATCAAGTGTAGTTATACCATGTCAAAATAATCTATTACCTTCCTCTCCAGCTGACTGCCAGCCACCACTGCTGTCAAATCCCTGCTGTCAAATCCGTAGTTGTGCTATGATGTTAATTTGTCTTGTATTAGTATTTTATATATTAGGTGTTAATTCCACTTACCTGCCTTCTCCTTCCCTTTCCTGTTTTTTAAAAGCTATTTATTAATTGTTAAATGTTCAATATGGACAAGTAAAGTACTTAAGTTCACCATAACTGAAAGTTATTTCTTACTACATACAATCTTTTTATTCTTTTAGTTAAATTACGTTGTGTTTTATCCTTTTGCTTCAGGTGTGCAGTTATCTGATCAGTTCCATTTTCTCTCTGCTCCCAGCATGTGGAATTTCCTGCTGTTTTACACAGACTAGACTGAATCGCTTCTATTTATGAGCCCCTCAATTAGAGGGAAAATAGTCAATTTTAAAAATTAGGATATTCATAAATATTGCCAATACCAATTAGATTTTTGTGTAAGATACGTGTGTTTTTAAAATCTTCAGATGCTTCTAGAAACATACTGTGATATTTGAATGCAATATCAAAGTAGTGAAATATGTTTTTTTATTTGTTCATGGTAGTATCAAAACTAAGAAAAAAATCACAGAATGTCTAAATAACCTTCACAGTATTTTCCAAAAAAAGTGCAGAGAGCTCTTTATCTGTTTCAGACCACCTGCCTAAGGTGGAAGGAGAGAGCACCGTAATTCCTTGTGAACATGGCCTTGACACTGCAAGCACTGACGGCTTCAGTGTTGTCTGGACATTACACAGAAATGCAGTGACCTCAGTCCTGGCCTCCTTCAATGGCACATCTCACTCTCACCAGCCTCGAGTCCAGGTTAACGAAAGTGACTTTTCGCTGAGGTTGGATCATCTTACTGCAAGTGACAGTGGGGAATATCTGTGCAATATTTCAACACCTCTCTACACAAAACTTGCTGTGACAACTTTGCATGTTGGTAAGTTGCCACTCCTTCCATTTCAAAGGATGAGGATGAGGACCAATCTCAAAAATAATCATTACATAAAAAGAATCAATATTACAATAATGAGCTAAAAACTAGTCATGGAAACAGCTCTAGAGTTCAGAATGTACCCCTTGAGGAGGGACATTGCCTCCACTGGAAGATGCTTTTCTTTGTGAATGGATTCAAACTTCATTACATGAATTGGGTCAGAATGTAGTGGGACAGCAGTGACAGCTGTTTGCCAGCTCTTGCTATGCTGATGCAACATGCACTTATTTTTGTGTAATTTGGTGTGATTGGTACAGTTGGGTGGAAGAGAGATGTTTTATTTTTGTTGGCTCGGAAAAAAGAAAGTTACCAAAGATGTGTTTATTTAAAGACTAGAAGTTTATTTTTTTCAGTCAGCAGCTTATTGTGGCAAAGGTTACAAAATCAATGTCTGCCTTCAGTTGCCACCAACTGCTTTCATAGCTGGGGACACAGCAGGGCTCTCAGAGTTCTGTCCTAAATGCTCTGCTGACAGCAAACATAGTTTTAAATGTAGCAGAGAGATGATGGGAAGCCCAAAGCTTGTGGTATAAGTTTGGCTGCAGAAGAAAGCTTGTTGAGAACACACAGTTGTTATTTTCAAAGCTTTAATTCTACACAGCAGGCCTTTTTTAGGCCTGGGGATATATATGTTTAAATGCATGCCTGTGTTTTTATGAGCTATAGTAAATTCCCAGCTGTGAAATCTTACTTACAGTTATTGCATTGTCAGTAGCACATACAAAAGTAGCACACAGACATTTCACACAATTACATACAATCACCAAAAAGATTGAAAACTAATAGAGGAGACCTCTTCTAAACAAAGAAGAGAACTTGAACCAAGCCAAGCAAATAAGACATGAAAAATAGAGACAACAGAAAAGGGGGTAGAATAAGTGATAATAACTTTGTGGCTTTCAGCACAGCCTGAAAGCAGATAAGTGGCTGGAGACAGTAGGGAATGGGCTATCCACGTTGGATAGCAGCCATAGCACAGCAGCTGCTGAGCAATCAGAAGGGTTTCCAAGGGCCACTGGAAAGAAGGCTTTTGAGGGGAAAAAAGAGATTTACAATCATCTCTCCTGCGTAAGGAAGGGTTGCAGCTTAAAGCTGCTCTTCTAAAGGAATTTACAAGATGTAAACATAGGTCTGCATGTGGTTACAGAGTCAAGCTAAAGGCAATGACTAGATTAAATGCTGTTTTAGCAGTTCTTATTTTTTAGCTGTTTTCCAGACATCCATAGGAAGTTTCCAGAGGAATGTAGAATTGTTCAAATTCTTTGGACAAGACACAGCAGGGGAAAGACAACCTGAGGTAGAATAGCCGTACAGTTCTTTTGACAGTTTGGTGCTGTGCAGAGGTTTCTTCTAGGTAGGCTTTGATCTCCTGTGGAATCCATGGTTATCACTCACTCATCTCAAGATTTCTTGTGTCCACCTGGATTGCATGGTTGCACTATGGAGCTGGGCAATGTTTCAGATTAAAGTTGCAAAGATTTTGCAGCAGGAGTCATGAAATTTATGATCCAGGCTGGATAACATTTACAGAGCTGCTCTGCTGTAAATCAGTAGTGCTAATGGCACTGAGCACTGTACCTGGAGACAGTGCCCAGCACACTGGGCAGTTGATTGGTTTTAAATGGGTCTTGTATTAAGAAGAAGAAGTTGTCAAATGCTATCCCATGAGCACACATGGAATTTGCTATCAGCACAATTAAGTAAAATAATCTGCTTTCATCTAGTCACACTTAAGTCAGTAAAGTATCACTTCAAAGTCTTACCACTATGAGTCAAGTAACTTGAACATTGTTGTCCTCGTCTCAGTTTCCTTGTAATGTTTCTTTCTCCCTAAATCATACCTTTTAGATTATAAATAAGAAAAAAATCATAGCTTTGATATATTTATTGAATAATCAGCCCTTCTTTTTTGTACTTGTATTTTTAAAGAAAATTCAGGTAACGCTGGGAAAATTGTGCTAGGAGTGCTTGGTGCAGTGGCAATAGCAGTGACAATAGCAGTGCTACTTTGCTATGTCAAGGTATGTACAATCATTAGAGTACTTATTTTTTAAGATACTGTTGATACCAAGCCTCTCAAGATTTGAATAAGGGTTGAGCCAAACTTTGCAACTTTAAAAAAATTGATAATCAGTAGCTGTAGCTAGACAGTTGTGATTAAACAACTGCATTGTTAGCGGTGTTTGCTATGCTGATCCTCTGTTGTAAGAAAAGGGAAGACAATCCCAATGTGAACGGGCTGTCTGGACAAGGGGCACCAGGAGTAAAGTCCAAAGAACTGAGCAGTAAGTGGGGAAAGGTAATTCTGGCAGTGGGAGATTGAAATCCATTGACCACCTCCTCAAAATGGACCTCCAACTGAAATTGAAGGGAAGTACCTAAATCCAGACCTTGAATGTTTGTCTGAAGATTTTGTCACAATCTGAATTTGGTAAGCTTCAGGAGGCATTTTATGGGTACCATGAGGTACAGCAAAAACACATTAGAAAGAAAACTGAAATTATTATGCCTCAGTCTTTTTTCATGTTTCTCTCTACACAGAGATTCACTTGCATGCTGCTTATTAAACAGTTGTAACATGCTTTAGAGATGATAGTATACTTTGAGATGCAGTTGTCTAAACAATTTAAGCAAGATTAAGTTATCTTGGGGCCTGTTGGGCTGTCAAACATATCATAATCAGAAGAAGTGGAACAGTTGACAGGTTAATTTAGCTCTGGTTACATTGATGGAGGGCTAGATGGAAAAACCAGGAATGTTTCTGCACTGTTGTGTGCATGCTTGTTTTACTCAGATAAAACTAAAATGGAAAATGCTGACTTATCTTTATGGTGAGTGTGTCTTGTTCTTGTTCCCCCACTAGAGGATTAATTTTACACATCAGTAGTTCTTATAAGTATTTTTATTTTGTCTAGAAAAAAAAGAAGAGAAGAATCAAATCAAATCAAACCAAAAAGAAGAGAGGACACCTTGACGTACAGGAAGAAAATAGCTCTCTGCACACAGATACTACTGACACTGGCAATGAAAAGAGCAAAGAGTTCGTCCACATTCCCCCTTTGAGTTAACAGTAAGAGCCGCATGGAAATGTGATTTTCTGAGCAACAGTAGCAGACAAATGGGGAGGAAAAAAAGTAAATGGATACTTGTATGTGAAAAGTCATGGAGCAGGGCATCTCACCCCCCACATGGGCTTATCTGTTGCTTTTTAACTGGTGAGTTAACTCAAACCAGACAGAGCTGTCTTGTAGTGAGTTATTTTGGCACCATGGGATTACCACCTGGAAAGACAAACTGGAATTCTGACTGACAGGCACCTGCCTTTACAAACTATATAAACTATATGAAACTGTCACAAAGCAGAAATATTCTGCACATTTTCCTGGAAACATGGAGTTTCTCCTCAGAGCAGGGACACCTGCTTTGCAATTATTCCTCTGGAGGCTGAGTATTTCTTTTGCTAGTTTTAATATAGGTAGCTTGATATCATGCACTGTTTTATGTAATCTACTGGTAGTTCTTTTGTTTTATACTGTGTCAGAATTAACTCAGGTTAAGACCTTTCATGTGTTACTTCCTATCTTTTCAATAAATAACTAATTTTATAAATAGACCTGATCTGCCATTCTTAGAAGCTGTGGGCTAGAATGATTTCTTAAATTTAAGCTGTTGCCAAAAATCTGAGGCTAAGGCAGGGCTTCTGTGAAGCTCCCACTTGTTCTGTGACAAGTCAGCATGCAAAATTGGATGTCCTAAAGGGACAAAGAAGTCTCCAGAGAAGAAGAAATCCCTAAATTTTGAGTGTTGGTTGGGGTTTTTTTTTGGGTGAGGGAAAGAGAGCTTACTGTTTTTTATTTCATTTAATATTTTATTTTGAAGACCATGTCTGCTGTCGACAGTGGCAAGTCCGAGCCCAGCAGAGCGTGCTGGGCTGGCAGTGGTGGGGGGGAGCAGAGAAGTGGCCGAGTGGGAACAGCTGTGGGGAACAAAACAGTGGCAGACTGAGGTGTGAGAAGCTGAATGCTGCCAAACACAGCCTAGCACAGCGGTCTGGGAAATGGACTGTGTGACATGGACGATCCAGCTTTTGGGGGTTTATCCATCATTGTTCTCCATTGTCTTGGGCTCAGGGATAGGAAATGTTAGCTATGGGAGCCTCCCCCACCTGCTTTTGTCCTGGGGGCCACATGTTGTGTGGGAATGGTTGCCACCTTGTCTTGGTCTGGAAAAACACGTGGAGCCGGCAGCACTAGAACGGCTGCCATCTTGTCCTTGTCCCAGGGGACCACATGGACAGGACCTATGGGAAATGTTCGCCATCTTGTCTTTGTCCCAGTAGCCATATGGAACTAAGTTGAGGTGGTGAACACCTTTGTATGGGTAAAGCATCTCTTCCTGTATACTTCTGTTATTAACATTGTTGCTCTTTACTTTCAATAAATTATCTCAACCCACAGTCTCTGCTTTTGTCTCTCTCTTACCAGAAAGGGGTGGGGGGAAGGCGAGTGGCTTATTTGGAGTTTAATTTTCTGGCTGGTGTTAAACCACCATGGACCAGTTCCCTGTTTAAAGGCAAGATTGAAAAGAATTCTTTATTTCTGAGCCACAGGGAGGTGTCCCTTGACACCATCTCCTGTGCCTGTCCTGTAGCTGACAAAGAGAAGTCCCTTGACTGGTGGTAGTAGAAACTTACAAATTGACTGTTCATATGGAAATCTTTACTTTCTCTTCTCCAAAACTCAGGGTCCTACGAGCAGGACAAATGGAAGCTGGGTTTTCCCATCTTTAAGGGCTGTCCCTTCCACAGGTTTAATCTTTGCTGCTGTCCTGGTTCCAGCCAGGACAGGGCTATTTTTTTGCAATAGCCATGAGGGGACATGACCAGAACCCTAATGTTATTTGATGCCACCCACTTCATTGGGGGTGGGGGTGGGGAGAGGGACTGTCTGTGCAGGTTCCATCAAGGAGGGGCCCAGGGTGAGCATTTCTGCATGTATACTTGTATTTGTATACTTTTTAAAATTAATATTGTTGTTGTTACTATTAGTTTTCTTATCTCATTGCTGTTTCCAGGAAATTGTTCTTAGCCTGTGGTTTTTCACCTTTTGTGCTTTCAACTCCCAACTCCATTCCAGGAGTAGGAAGGAGAGGGGGAGCAAGAGAGTGGCAGTGTGGTTTGAGAGAGTGAAGGGAGAAGTACTGTTCATAAACCAGGACAGCTGCTTTAACAATCTGCATATGAAATACATGAGGCTGTGCAGCATGACTGGATTTGCCCTTAGTTTTGATTTTGTCAGAGATCTGCCAATTAGGATTTGTTCCAACATAATGAAGTCGGCTGTTGGCGAGATGCAATTTTCTATTGATCCCTAAGGCTTGGCAAAATAAAAACACAAATAAATGAATGAAATACGCTATGCAGTCTATTTGGATTTTCACTTGATGTTTATTTCTGTAAGTGCTTATTTTTTCTACATCTGCTTTCAGTTGTGCCTGATTATGTCAAGTATTTTCTCATATTTGTCAGCTTGGACTTTTTTATTCCTCTTCATGAACCTGAAAGGCAATTGAGATAGTATGCAACTGTTAAAAATAGAAATGTCAAGAGGTTATAGTGTAAGGTCACAAGTAAGTGACAAAAGCTGCACTAATGCTTCTGTTCCCTGGTATTACCAGTTTGTATCTGAAATAGACTAGCAGCAGTCTGGCCAACACTTGCCATCTTATTCCAGCTAACAGTGCAGGTATCCTGTCCTTGTTCTAGATTATATAGATCCTTTTGATGGCAAAGGACTTCTACAACCCTTTTTTAATTGATGGTAGTGCTGTGAATGACACACACTCCCCAGAGTATCCAGGAAATGGGTACTCATAGCAGTAGACAAGATATTTCTAATGCTGCAGGATTAAAGTAGTCTCTACAGTGGCCTTCTCTCCCCAAAGGAGATGTTGTGATTTTTGGGATAATAGTCTCCACCTGAATGTGTTTCCTGGCAGCTCCTACAGTTGCTGCCCCAAGACCCTTCTAGTGGAGCTGCCACCGCTGCGTGCACCACTGAGCTCATCTTTTGGCAATACTCTGCTCCATTGCCAGAGCTGCAGTTGGTGTTCGCAAACAGCATCTGACTCGTAAAAACAGGCATCCACTTTTCTGTGACTTCTGCATTTTTGAAGCAGAAATAGAGTACCAGTAAGGTCCAGGAAATAAACAGCAACCTTAACAGTTTTTGAAAAACTAAATTATTCTCATGGTGTAGAGTGTTTGTTTGATGCCATGGCTTTGTGAATCTTTAAATGAGTTTATAGTGATTTTGATTTTTTTTTTTCTGTAGGGGTAGAATAATTTAGAAAAATCTGTGGAAATTTTTTATCCTTAAAAGCTGCAAATCTTTCGAGGTTCCATTGCAGTACGGCTTCCATTGTACATAAATGTGTGATGAACCAGATATTCAGGTAGTTTTAATGTGTCTTTGCTCTGGATGGTGAAGCAGCAGTAATTTATATCTGTCAAAGGTGATTTCATTAGGCCAATACAAAAGCAGAAATTAAGAGCGTAAAGGCATTTTCTCCCTTTCTTAGCTTGGGAGCTATCAACTCCATAAAACATATGTGATGTTAAGCATGGAAGTTCATTAAACTTGCAAATGAAATAGATTTAACAATGACCCAGCTCCTCTTTCTATCATTCCTAAAAGTAACAACCTCACTCTTTTTTGCCCTGTTTGCCACAAGGCAACTATAGATAAGTTTGCTTTCAGTTCCAGACTAAGTTCTTAAGTGCCTTCTAGTTTCATTAACATTATTCTGCTACCATTCAGTTCAAGTGCAAAACACCACAAATATATATTTCATATATATATTTCACATATATTTCTAATCACTAATGACTTCCCAGCACCGAAGTGACTAATCACCAATATTTTCTTTTCATCCAGCTCTTCCAATCAATACAAGTTCGTTGAAAGAGCAATGTTAAAATATCTAATGTAATACCCAGGTTCTATTACATACATAGAAATCTCTATCATCAGGGAAAAAAAAAGGTGGAGTCTTTTAATATCCCTTGCAAAAAGAAACCCCAAAACCCAAAACAAACCCACCAAATCACCAATTCTGCTTCTGCTGCTGAGAACAGAGGTTAAATGACAACAAAAATACAGAAAATATATTTTGTCCAAGGGTCAGATTGCTGTCCTACAGGGTTAAGTTAATATTAAAATAAAGGGCAGAGTGAAACAGAACAAATGTAGAAACCCAAGAATTTATCCTAGTCTACACTACTTTCAGAGATATAACATACAGAGGACCCACTATTGTGTGTTAAACACTCACATCTACCCCATACATATGACCATACCTTTTTCATGCCAATGTCTCTTGACTTGCTCCTCAGCTTATTAACTTGAGATTCAGCTATTTCAGCCCTCTCTTCAGCATCATCCAGATCATGTTGCTGTTTTCTGTACTTTGAGAGGTACAGATTGGCTTGAGCTTCCTGTTGAGAAAAAAGAGTGCAGCTGATTTCCTCCTGTCCACATGAAACAAAGCTTTTAATTTCAAGTGGGATGGAAAGTGCTCAGCATGAGTAGGTAACAGCTGTATGGGCACCACTTGCCTCCTGCAGAACTGAGACTGTTGTTTTACAGAGTTGGTATTTCTAGTGGCATTTTCCAAGTGAACTAAGAGGCTTTCAATGTGTCTTCTGAGGGGCTAGGAGGGGCTGAGGGCTGTTTATTCCCTTCCTCCCCTTCTCTTGCAAATTATACTGCAATCTTAGGATAAAATGGAATACTTTTTCTTAAGTACAATCAACACATATGCTATATATTTTACTTTATATATAATATAAATACAGTTTTATATGCAGGGCTTATATAGATATGAAAATAATTATTTATGGGCACAAAATGTGTCTTTGTACTAGAAATTTCTATGGATAAAACACTGTAAGTTTAGAACAATACATATCTCAGAGGTAAAAAGATCCAGATAGTTACTTACAGCTTCCTCTGCTTGGTGCTTGTAACTCTTCACTTTTAATTGTAGCTTGTCAATCAGATCCTGCATCCTGGCAAGATTCTTCTTATCTTCTTCTGACTGTATCAAAACATCATTAATTGTGTTGATAAAGTAAAAAGGCTTAAAGCATCTACCACAATACAATAATTATGGATGCCATATCTTAGAAACTTACAGCTCAAAGCACAAACTAGCCATGTCCAAATTTCTACATCATCATTGAAGATGTGTGTGTAGGGGTGAAAACTGCGACTACCCTTCCCATGTATAGATGCGTAAATATAAATGTATATAAAGGAAGATATCAATGTGGACACGCTTTTAAAGGTGTGCAGATACACACAGGCAGAGTTCCTTGCTCGGGGGTGAGGAGCATGCTTGTCATTATAAAGCATGTCATTTTATATTGAAGCAGATACGGGAGAGCCTAGAACTGTGTAATTTGCATAATTTGAAGTTTGATTCGCAGGCATTTCTGGTTAAAAAAGCCTAGTTTAAGCTGTCATGCTCCACAAGCAGAGGGACCAGCTAATTCTGCCTGCACACTGCATTAACAAAAAAACCCTTCAGCTTCTCATACAAAAGTCAAAGTAAAACAACAGGTAGGAGGCTAAATAATCTCCTAAGGCAGAGGGATGGGTTTATCTTCTTAATGTTGTTCAAAGAAAAAGGGTAAGTGCTATGTGCTGCAGGCCTTTTTTGAAGGCCAAGCAGCATGAGCAGCTGTTAGCAAACCTGCAGGAGGCTCAAGACTAGACCCTGCTGCTCAATAATAGAGCCCTGGGACTCAGCAACCCTACTCTGAACAGGGCATTAGAGCCACTGAATCCTTCTGGCTCCTTTTAGCAACAGCAGCACAGCTGAGAGGGAGCTGGGTTCTTTCTTCCCTTGCATTGTAAACAGTCTACATTGAAGCCTGTTCCATATTAATACTGTGCTAAAAATGTCCAAATCCCAGCAACAGAGGCTTTCTAACATTAGTTACAGCAAATCAGGCAAGAGGATGATGATCACTGGCACAGGATGCCTGGAGAAGCTGTGGATGCTCCATGCCTGGAAGTGTTCAAGGTCAGGTTGGATGGGGCTCTGAGCAGCCTGGTGTAATGGAAGGTGTCCCTGCACATGGCAGGGGCATTGGAATGAGATGATCTCCAAGGTCCCTTCCAACCCAAAGCATTCTGTGATGGAAGCCATAGGGAGATATTCCTCCTGTGCCTAAAGCTTCCAGCAATCAGAAAGCTCTGACTGAGGCCATCCATCCTCCTTTACCCTGAGGCTATTGATGGTGTGTCTTGCCAGTTGCCTGGTGGTTACTGCATACCTGGTAAGTCAGCTCCTTTATGCGTCTCTCAAATTTGCGGGCTCCTTTTTGGGCGTCTGAATTGCGACGGAGTTCAGTCTCAAGTTCATTCTCCAGCTCACGAACCTGCAAAAAAG